TTCTGTATTCAATAGCTTAGTAGTTATTAAATAGATGATATTATAATATATGTTCTATATATATATATATATATATATATATATATATATATATATATATATATATATATATATATATATATATATATATATATATATATATATATATATATATATATATATATATATATATATATATATATATATATATATATATATATATATATATATATATATATATATATATATATATATATATATATATATATATATATATATATATATATATATATATATATATATATATACATACATATATAAATGATATTAGTTTTCAATACAGTTCTTTACTATGCCTGTGTAGATTGTTGTCTAAGAATATTATTTCTTGTTAGTTGTATTTTTGTATACTTAATACTTACATTTTTTTAAGTCACTCTTTTTTTTCTGTAGACAATTTAGAACAAACAATCAGAAGTTAAGTTTGAATTGTTTTAGTTACTATATCATTTAAAGTATTTGTATGCTGTGTTAGTATTCCTTGTTAAATAAATGTTTTGATTTTTTTTATTTTTTTAAATTAATTTTTTAAAATTTTTTTTAAAAGATTTAAGTTTAAGAAAAAAGATTGTTAAATAGTCAATTAATGTAGCACATAAAAACAGATTTACAAATCAACTGCATCGATGCAAAGTGAGAGATGAGATTTGCCAAAGACAAAAAATCAAGCGCCATAAAATGGATGAAAAAGAAAAAAGAAAGTTAGAGCGTGAGCTATCCAAATTGAGTTTTAACGAAATTATTAATTCATGCAAGCGCTTGTCCAATGACCAACTATTTGATTTAGAAGATGTCATGTCAGATAAAATTGTTTGGAAGAAACTAAAACATGAATGGTACGATCCAAAAACATGCAAAAGTGTTTTATATAGCGAAAGAGTAGAAAAAGTTAATAAAAGAAAAAATAACTTTATTTACACCATTTCTTACTGGAAAGATGATGAAACTGATATTGGAGCTATTGACTATTGCATAAAAAAGATGTTGTTTCCAGTGAGTTACAATTTAATTAATTTAATAACACTGCAAGTGTTGTGACTTGTCAAAAATATGTTGCAAGTGTTGTGACTTTCATAAATAATGTTTATTTTAAAACAGGAAATTTGTTTATTAACCAAAGAAAATGGTTAGCTCGTTAACCATACTGTATGGTTCTGTTAATGTGAGAATCACATGAAAGACAATAATATAGGTATTTGCTATACTTGGTTATAAAGATAACATGTTTTTTAAGGCCAATTGACTTAATTATAGCCCCACAATAGTAGTTGTATAATTTTTTTAGTAGTATATAACCAATTAAATAATAATATTAGGTTAGAGGGGGAAGGGGCATTACAATGTGCCAAATTCTGTGCCACGTTTTTTGAACTTTTTTTTAGGTAGCGTCAGACAAACGTTTTGTTGTGGTGTTTTTTTTTAGAAAAGTATATTAACAGAATATTTTTAAAAAGAAGAGAGTTTGATCTATATTTTTATGTATCAATTATGAATGGATGATTTACTTTTAGTTAACTTTATAGATATTGAAAATTTACTTGATGTTGTCATGTGAAATTTGTATTGAAGGAATGCTGAGACATTTTGCAAAACTACTGAGACATTTTTTTAAATCTATTTTTTATTCACCTGCCAAATTTCAAGGAAAAATATTATGTAGCAGATAATTTAAAAAGTGTAGCAGTTTTGGTACCTAAATTTTGTTTTCACAAATTCCGTGATGGGTGTTGTTGTGGTTAGGGGGGGGGAGAGAGTTGGAATGTATATAACAATAATTAATACTGTTATAAACAGTAATAATAATACTGTCATTATTACAAATTTGTTGTCATTATTTTATAAATTTTATTATTTTATTTTTATTATTCAATCATAATTTATGTATTTAATATATATACACAATAATATTGTTTCACAATATTATTCAATAATAAATAAACAATAATATTGTTTAAATATACTTTTAGATAAAAAGCAGATAATATTTGTTGATGATCAATGAACATGGAAATGGAAAAAGGTTCAGAAAATAAATTTACTTAATTAATGCCATTAACAATGGCAATTATTCTTAAAGTTTCTGGAATTTTAAACCCAAAAGCAAATGAATATATAATTGCTTTCAAAACATTCAAACCAGTTTTAAATGTTTTTTTGACAGTTTTTGTCAAAACTTGTCAATTTATTAAATAGCATTGACAATACAATTATCAATAGTATTTGCATTGTCATGCAAAAACTATTGTCATTTCTATTCTGTTAATAGCATTAAGTTTATAATATTTACTTAATCATTAAGTTAATGCTATTAATATCAATTATTAAGTTAATACTATTCATTATACTAAAGTCTACAATGACAGTGTAGAAAGTGTCACTGTCAACTGTTAAATAGTATTGACAAGGACATATTTCTTTACTATTGAAAATATATTATTATTATTATTATTATTATTGCTATTATTATTATTATTGTTATTATTATTATTATTATTATTATTATTGTAATTTTGATTCTAAGCTATTGTTAAAGTTGTATATTAATGCATGCATAATAGTAATAGTATTTATATCATGCATGCATTTATAGTACATGCCATATTAATTCATGCATGATATTAATATTATTACTATCCAGCATGCATATTATTAATGACATTAATTATTAATGACATTAATATTATGAGATGCAAATAAATATTGTCATATACCAGCAGGCATATTATTAATGACTAATAATATGCAAGCTGGTATGTGACAATAATTATTTGCATATCTTATTTCCATAATATTAAAACATATATTATAATTTTAAAAACTTTAAGGGAACTGAATAAAAAATAAACAAAAAAAATTATTAAAGATATTTTGTTAAAATATCCTTTATTTGTCTTTATAAGTATATATAATTAATTCTTTTTTATTTTAAAAACAAAATATCATTTGTGTGAAAGTGTGTTTATCAATTTAATAACATTATAATTATCATTTTTTTCATTCATTGTTCAGAAGAGCGAATGGAACAACGACTAAGTATTTTTATTTCATTTCTTGCATATTTTTAGATTGTGTATTGTTTCACTGTTACTCAAACTGCTTACTTAAACTGCTTTTGGCGTATTAATTTTTAAATACAGATTTATATTTTAGTCATTATTTTTGTTTTTATTTTATTAATATTATTTTTTTTAGCCCAGCTTGAAAAAACTATAGGTAAGAAAAGTTAATTTTTTTTTTGTTTACATTTATTTTTTAAATTTGAATCAAATTAGATAAGTTTTCCTATTTCTTCATTTGAATCAAATTAGATAAGTTTTCCTATTTCTTGATTTAACTAATTTTATATGTATAAATGCTTAATTATTTGGCTAGTTGATATCTGTTTACATTTTTTTAGGTGATTTAGTGAGTCACATTAGTAAGTTAAATGAATGTTACTTTTTTGTCTATTTATTTTTTTATTTATCTATTTAAAAATTTTTAATTATCTATTATATATGAAGATTATTTATCTAATTAGGAATTTGTTAATTTTTTAGATTTTTTATTTTAACTGCAACATTTGTAAGGTGGCAATAAAAAATTATGTAACTTTTGATAATTATTTGAAAATGTTTACTAATACTAAAATGTATTTATTTGTTATTAAAATTTATTTTTTATAACATTTAGTGCCACCTTCAACTGCTACTGATGGTAATATTTGAACTATAAGTTTAAAAAAAACATGGAGTACATTTCTTTTTATGTGTTTGTAACACTTTTTTAATTATCTTTAGTGGCATGTCATGCTGATACCGCTGGTAGTTTGTAAATGATATATAAATAATAAATTGTAAATTATGAATCAATTTTTATTTGCTTGTAACACTTTTTATTATGTCTCTTTTAGTATCATCTTCATCGACAACTACAGGTGCGTTTTTGAGATTATAACTTTTTCAAATGTTTTTTCTTATAGTGACATCTACTTCTGCTGGTAATTTTTTAACATGTTTTTAAATTATATAAGAATTTCTATGAATTTAAATTCTTTGTTGCTTTTTATTTTGTAACTTTTAGGGCCATCTTCATTGGCTTCTGCTGGTAATTTTGTTATTTATAGCATTTTTTAAATGAGAATCAATTATGTACCAATTTCAATTACTTTTAATTATTTGTAACACTTTTTATTTTGTAATTTTTAGGGTCATCTTTATCGACTTCTGCTGGTATTTTCGCATAACTTTTGATACTATAACTTTTTACTATATAATTTATGTACCAATTTTAAGGATTTTATTTGGTGCAACATTTTCTTTTTGTAACATTTAGAGCCCTCTACGTCTGCAATTGCTGGTAATTTTGTAAATTATAACTTTCAAAAATTCATTATTATTTATTTATTAGTAACACTTTTATTTGTAATCTTTAGTGCAAACAACACCTGTTGTGTCTGGTAAGTCTGTAGTGTTCTAATTTTATAAAATTATCATAGACTAATTTTGAGGTGTTTATTTATTTTCAAGTTGTTTCTCAATCATATTCCGAATTCTTTAATGGTTCAGGAGATTTTGTTAATAAATAATTAGTTTCAACTTTTTAAAATGATAATCATTGAACTTTTTATTGTTATTTATTACTTTGTTTAATAATCGTATAAAAATGATATTTAATAGTAGTTCATTGTTTGTTGGATATTAACCTTCTTTTTCCATATGTATTTCTGCTTTACTTTTAGATCTAACATATGCTGCATATCAAGAATATAGGTCCCAGCACCATGGTCCTTACTCCAATAAATCCTATCTGCGATGGGTAAGGAATGGGGGTAGTGATTCCCCTAGTTTTACATGGACATATGTGCCCCCAAACCCTGGTGCTGGGACAAGAAGAAGGAATTACCGCAGAGGGCGTGGTCAGAGAAGAGGCGGTAGCAGTGGGGGATTTGGAAACTTTTATGTCTACAATTCTTAAAGGTTTTCAAGTCCTCCACCATAACCAATAAAAGAATTCTTATTTCTTATGTTAAAAATATTTAAATTTACAAAAAGGTTTTCTTCTCTTTTGGTTTGCTTATATATAACTATAAAGTTGTTTTTTTACATTTTTGAACATAGTAAAAAGACTCCTCCAAAACTAAAATTTGTGTTTGCACCCAATATAATTGTTATTAATTTTTCTAAAATATATGTCTGCATTAGTTTAGCAGTAAAACGTTAACATTTTTTTAACATTTTTTTTATTTTTGTTTTATTATAAAAAGTTATTTAAGTTTATAACTTCTTTTTTTTTTTAACTTTTCTTTATTTTTCTTCTTATTCTATTATTAATTTTTTTTTGTGTGTGATACTTTGTATTTAATTAATTTTTTTTTAACAGGATCATATATTTAAAAATAGGTCCAATTTATAATATTTTTTATATTCACTTATAGTTCCTAAAATTTTGTTTTTAACCGCTATATTTGGATATCACGATAACTAGTAAGGTATTTATGTCTTTAATTGTGACATGTATATTTAAGTATTTTTGTATAATTTTTTTAGTTTTTTTTTCTGTTTTAAGCTAGGAGTTAAAAAAAAAAAACATTTCTATGATTTTAATGCAGTTACCAAACTTTATTTTTTATTTTTAAATAGATTTGTTTTGCCAGCCAAGTGTACATGTTTTATAATTTTTTTGTAGGTGTCATTTTTTGTAGGCCTTAAAAAGAATATTTGTTTGTTTCGTGGACCTGTGAGAAGTTATGTCTTTGAAAATTTCTCATTGTCTGGCGAAAATAATAATATCTGTAAGAAGGGACATGTACTTTACTCTTTCATTACAAATGATGAGTCGTATTTTAAAACTGTTCATGAAATTAATCAGTTATTTAACTTAAAGACTTGTAAAGTTCAACTGAGGAGTGTTGTGAATGCATGCAAGAAATGGACTTTTAACTTTAAAAGAGATTATAATAATATCTCAATTTTTTGTAACGAGCCCTTTGTATGCGCAACTCCCATTGTACAAATAGCACAGCCATTACATACTAACACTATTAGTTCAATAAACCCTGTTTCATTATCATCAGTGGATTATCCTGTCAAACAAAACATTAATTTATCTTTAAAAAAAGGCAAACCTTTTTCTTTTTTAGATTATGTAAAAAATAAGCCACGTTTAGATATGTCTAGAGAAAATTTGAGTCCGAGAAAAAAAAGACTACGTACTAGGTTATCATATATATCTTCAATGTTAGCTAGCACTTCTAGAGGAAATCGAAACAAAATAGCATTATTAAAGGCTAAATTAGGCAGCATGCCATACAGGTTAAAAGTATTAAGACAAAGTGTCAAAAGAAAAGAAGATATTATAAAAGCCTTACGACTCAAAGTTAGAGACCTAAAAAAAAAATTACAAACATATCATTACACTAGGGTTATTCACCATTTGCAAGATGCAATAAAGACAAGAAAAACTAAAGAAAAAAAAAATTGCGTGAAACGAATATCCAACATAATAATGATATTAGGCAAAATACAATGGTTATTGCAAGTTTTGAAAATGAATTATTAAAAATGGAAGAGAGCATAATTCCTGTTATGTCTGAAACTGAAAAGTGTTATCCTTTAAACATTAGGCTAATAATTTATAGCATGTTGTTGTCAAATGTGCCTACAGGTAACATTCCATTTTTGTTAGAGAAAATTAGCCAGTATTTTGGTGTGAATTAGGTAGTATATCAGAATTACAAGCAGCAGAATAGGCTATCAGTAATTCTCAGCTTACTCTTGGATTTGATGCAACAACACAAGTAGGTGTTCATATAAATAGTGTTCACTTTACGTCCAAAGATAAATGCCTTGTTATTGCTCTGGATCAATGCCCAGGAGGAACAGCTGATGATTACGAAAATCATATTTGTAGGGCAGTAGATCATCTAGCTTTTGTTTATTCAGATTTTTATTTACGTAATTATGATGAGTGTCGTCAATTGATTATTAAAAATATTTCCAACACAATGTCAGACAGAGTTGCAGTTAACCATCTGACCATAAGCAAAGTTAGTGCAACTTGGGGTAAAACTCTGAATGAATTGAATTGTCATTTGCACCCTCTTGATACAATTGCTACTGAATGTCGCTCAGCATTGAAGTGTCTAGAGACAGAAAAGTGTGAATTATTTGGCAATGATTGTTTAGCCGTCAAAATTGTCTATGAATAAGATGAAATAATAATGAATAAGTTTAAAGACGGTAAAGGTGATCCAGAGGGATTTGTTACTTTTTTAGACCACAAAAAACTACCTAGGTGTATCATTACTAGATATCGGGGAAACCGTCTCCATATTCTTTTTCATACTTGCTTTATATTTATTAAACACTATGATGATTTTCTAAATTTTCTCATCACAGGAACAGTAAAATGTGGCAGTTTGCAAGCAGCTCTGCGAGCAGCATTTTGTAATGCTACCGCTATAAAACAGATGTGTGTGCTTGGTGTATTTGGGAAACTGCTAAGTGGTCCGTGGATGACTAAGTTTTATGTATCAGCTGAGGATGCAAGTTTTGATCATCTCACTGGTATTCAGATTGTAAAAAACATTTTGGAAACAGTTAAGCTTTGCAAATCTAATCCGGCTGCAGTGTTTTGCAGAACAACTGATTTTTTCGGGGAAATGCTTCCCTCAAATGTTTTTGAACCAATAACAAATTTATGCTGCATTGATGATCAGGTTATCAACATGACTTCAGCTTGCCTTAATGCAGTGGAGGATGTATTGATTAGACAATATAAAAAGTACTTCTCCCTTTCCATTACGGAGACACTTAAGCAGGAAACAGCTAGTGCAAGGCTTCATAATATAGATAGTGAAGAGTTAATGGGTATGTTTAGTGAATGTAAAGGAAGATCCCCTAATGCAACAACTTGTTATATTTCTTGCAAAATAAGATCAAAAAAGAATAGGACTATTGATTATCTTGATAGTTTAGTTCAACTAAGTAGAGAAAATGTAGTTAAGTGGTCCATTTTTACAGCACGTAAAGAAAGAAAGAGAAATCGCCTACAACATGCTCAAATTCGATCTGTAATATATGAGAAACAGACATGCAAGCGTCAAATGTTGGATGAAAAAGAAAAAAGGAAATTAGAACGAAAACTTAAATTAATGACTTTCAGCCAGATTAAGAATTTCTATAAACAATTGTCTACAAAGCAACTGGATGATTTAGATGATGTTATGTCTGACAGAATTGTTGGTAGAAAACTATGTCATGAATGGTATGACACTGAACAATCTAAGAATGTCATATACGATGGTAGAGTAGAAAAAGTAAAAAAAAGATTGCAAGACAGAATTTACACAATCTCTTACTGGAAAAAAGATGAAACTGATTCTGAAGCTGTTGATTATTGCATGAAAAAATTTCAGCTGGTCGCAGATGTTGTTTCAGGAGAATTAATTTTTTTTTAATGTTAATGTGTATTAATTGTTTTTAATGTTAATATGTATTGTTTTCATAATTGTATAGTTTATTATGTCCAAAATAGATACTGCAAATGTTATAAATTAAAAAGTCTTAACATTTGAAAAGTACCGCAAGTGCTGTGACTTGCAAAAAGGTAACCAGCAAGTGTTGTGACTTGCAAAAACGGTGCCGCAAGTAATGTGACTTGCAAAAAGGTAACCAGCAAGTGTTGTGACTTGGAAAATTGGTACCGCAAGTGCTGTGACTTGCAAAAAGGTAACCAGCAAGTGTTGTGACTTGCTAAAACGGTGCCGCAAGTAATGTGACTTGCAAAAAGGTAACCAGCAAGTGTTGTGACTTGCAAAATTGGTACCGCAAGTGCTGTGACTTGCAAAAAGGTAACCAGCAAGTGTTGTGACTTGCAAAATTGGTACCGCAAGTGCTGTGACTTGCAAAAAGGTAACCAGCAAGTGTTGTGACTTGCAAAATTTGTACCGCAAGTGCTGTGACTTGCAAAAAAGTAACCAGCAAGTGTTGTGACTTGCACAGATTATTGATAGACGGCTCTGGCTTACCTTCTCGTGGTGTCTATCGTTAAAAATGATTAATATTTTGTTTCATTAATGGAATTTAAAAGTTTAATCATTTACTAAAAGGCAAGACACTAATTAATTACTAACAATGGGTATTTTGTTTTCACTAATTCACATAATTTTAAGTATTGTATATTTTAAAAAATATTTTACTTGTTTTTTTAGGTCAGATGTTAAAGAATCAAAGAGCCTTTTGCCTAAGAATTTAAATACTCTTACACATCTTTTATTAAAAATTAAAGTGTTTAAATATTTGTTTATTCTTATTTCTTTAATTGTAACTACTATCTTTTCACAATATTTTTCAATTTAAATTTATAAAAATAATTGTTTTTTTAATTTTTTATATTGGAGGGGCTCACGTTCTTTCCTATATAAAACTGGATAAACTATTGCTTTTTGTAAAGTGGTATAATGTCTGTTTTGACGTTTGAAAATGTAATCAAATATTTCTATTTTTTAATTTAAAAAATTCACAAAAAAAAAATTTTTCGGGGTGGGAGGGGAGGGATTTGCGGGCGCACGCCCGCGATTCCCTCAAGTAAAATTATAACTTACTGACTGACTCGCCCAACCCCTCAAGTAAAATTATAACTTATTGACAACTAGTTGTAATGTAGTAAAATATATATTTTTAGGTGGGGAAGGAGAAGGGAAGGGAGGGCTGCGCAGGCGTACGCCCCTCACTTTGACTCAAGTTATACACCACTAACCACTAGTTGTAAAGTACTGAAATTTAACTTTTATTTTTTATTCTAGATTTACTTATTTAATTGGAGATAAAAATATTATTTTTAAAAAGGAATCATTTTTGTTTATAGTACGTGTTAAACAAGCACCACCACATCCACCCTAACTTAAAGGTACACATCTCATATACGCTGGTGAACTAGGATCAAAATATTAAAACTTCTGTTTGATAAAAAAGAAAAT